CTAAACGATAGAAATTATGGGCCAAATCCTTAACTCTTTGTCTGTAGCATCCAGGAAAGTGAAAGATCCAGCCAGGGCTTGAGCCTCACCTTACTCAGTTTCGCCAGCACACTGTTGTCACCCTTAAGACACCCTTAGTTGTCTCTGTTCCCAAACAGGAAGCATGACTGCACTGCACATAATGGTCTCAAGAGATTTGGTGCTTTCCAGTAGCCACAGGACATCAGCTAAAGAAGCCCAGGAACTGTACGAGCTGCCATGGGAATGACTTGTGTCCCCAGAGTCAAGAACATAGAAGAGCAATATGAAAGTACACCTGTGCCCTTCATCACACAGTGCCAACTCCCTGTTCAACTCAGAATCTGTCTCTTGGCCTCCAATCCTGACACTGTTGCTCCATTCAGGTTTACTCTACTCTGGGGATTTAGCCAGCCCTCTAATATTTCTTTGATTTGGGATTTTAAAGCAATCCCTTCCATCTTTCCTGATTTGTAGGGTTTATATTATTTATCTTTTCCATTTGATTAACTAGCTGAAAAATCGATGCCAGTGCATTTTATCATCTTCTCAGAGGAGCTCTCTGTTGTACTGTGCTGCTATTTTAGGAACTAAGGCAGTTTGTGAATCTATACAAGTAGTTTGGCAACCTGCTCTTTCTTCCTTTGCCCTCTCCTTTGTTTTGGACACAACACAGGAATCTTTCTGTGGCTCTGCATGGTGAAAATTGATATAAACCAGCTTTTGTCAATTTTATATACTTTTTTTTTTTCTGTGAAGAAAGTTAATACCATGGAAAAAAAACTGGTCAGGAGGATCAAATGTTTACGCAGGACGTCATGCTGCTTTAGTGTGCCAACTCCCCAAGAGTCTACAAGGAAGCCAGCCAGACGGGCTCTGAAGCCTGCACCCTGACCCCAGTGACCTCTTAATTTTTTAACGTTTATCTAGCCCCATCCCAGCAGTACTTGCATTGAAACTGATCCCCCTGCTCCTGGATTTTTGGCAGAAGGAGACTTCCTTCATATGGAAAAGTGTTTAATACCAATTTAATGGTCTGTCTAGCCACTGTAAACCCCCAACCCCCTTCCCAAGTCTCCCACTGGCAAGAAACAGTGAAATAATATGCTTGAAATAGCCCTAATTCTTCTCCTCAGCATGGTAGTTGTTTTTCTAATAAGCAATTTTTTGAGAAAGCCATAGAATAGAAACTAGCAGCTACAGAGCTGAATGACATCTGTAATACGTTCCTTTTTCTTTTTCATTAAATTATTTTTTCATTATCTTCTCACTTATACATTTGCATGGTCAGAAATGGGTGCCCACAGAACTACAAAAGGTTTCCATTTTAAGTCATCAGATTTGTTAGAACCAGAAAAAAAAAAAAAAAAAAATCAGATTAATGCAAATCCACTTTTCATGTAAAAAAAAAAAGTCTAAGTCGTAAAAAAGAGCTTCTTGGTACAATGCCAACAAAAATCCTAACAAAGAAGTTAATAAAAAGGAAATTGAAAGGTGGCATAGTTTTCCTAAGGCAATCTGGTTTGCTACTGTAAAGAAGGTGTGGGTTCAAAGGAAGCTGGGACTACCCTTTGAGATAAGGAAAGGTTTGAACCTTTGCAGCAAGGATGGCTGTGTCAGGGACACAGCATAGTCTCATGCATCCCCTAGTGTCGGGATGGGGAGAATTTCAGCTGTGGAGCAAAATGGCAGGCCAGAACCAAGTAACAGATGCAACAAGCTTGGCACCACACAGATATTTTAAGAGCTCTAACATCCTTTTCATTAAGTCACCACATTAAAACAACATACCCTTAGGAACTTTGGGGAGTCAGTAACAAAACTTGTTACAATAGTGATTTGATTTGCTTTCTATCTTTAAAGAAAATAAAACTATTCCTCCAAATCTATACTCCTTTAGAGGTGAAAAGCCCATGAGTATCCACCACTTCCCATGCCTTAAGAAGAAATGCCAGAAAAGTTCATCTGAGAAAACATGAAGAAATGTTCCAGTCTGCAGTTTACACATACTCCCATTTGGACTTAAACCACTTAATTTTCCAGGAAGAAGGAGGCACATGATATAAGGACATTGAACAAAACCCCATAGTTTAACGGCGACAAGATCCACTATGTTGTGATGAAATGCCACAGGGCAACAATTTGCAGAGCACTGTGAAGGATTCAATGTCCTGCACTGCTGCAGAGGGTAATCTCCTTTACCTCTATGCAGCAATACAACATATGGAAAACAATGGAAGCCATTCATATGTATTCTGTTTATAACATTATTCAAATTAACTTTTTTTTGAGTGAATAAAAATGCCCAAAAAACTTATCTAGAGTGACTGCTGTTTTTACACATACAACTATATTCCAATAGCTTCAAAAGCCATAGAATCTCATGCTGCCAAATAACAGCTAAGGAGCTACTAGGCAGGATCTCAGACAAAGGCTTACAATTCCCATCACCTCCTGTATTGCCACTCCACTAACAGCTACAGCACCTCCCTGCAGCTGAAAAAGAAACAAACCAAAAAACATCAGGTCGACAAGACCAAACGGTTGCACTCCAAAAATATTATCATATTGTGCCACTTTTTCAGCTCTTTGGGAGTGGGCAAGAAGGAGAAGTACCATATCAGCCTGTTCCATAGCAGTACTAGGGCAGATGTCCAGCCCACTGGACTTCAAGTCTGAGACAGCGATCAAAAGAAATGTTATTCACTTTCATATGGCTGCCAGAAAGGTGAACATTTTCAAAAGCAGAGAAATCAGAGAGATAGGAAAGGGAGGAGAGCATAAAGAAGCATAAGTACAAGTACAGATGGAGCTTTCCTGGACTTTCTGATGTCTCCAGAAGACACATTGTGCACAGCCCTGAGGAAGGCCCATTTCACTGCAAGATCCGCTGCTCTATCTCATGGTTTTAAGCTCTCAAAGAGTGCCAACACATTACAAACTTTCAGGAAGGAATTCTGACTTTATTTCTTTGGCAACAAACAATATGCTCATCCCCAATTCCCTTTCTACATATCACATGGTGGCACAGCCCTGGAATTATGTCTCAACACACCATATGTGCTGTTAAACATGGCCCAGCTCCCACACTCTGTAACCACAAAGAATCTAAGGAGATGAGTGAGGGGCCTTTTCTGAAAAATGCCTCCAAATGATCAAAGAAAAACAGAAAATAAACAGGTTATGATACATCATGGTGGAAATTATCTGAGACTATGAAAATATCCAATCAACTCTAGTTGTGCAACTGTGCTTTTTGGAATTTCTCTAAATTCATTGAATTAGGCAACTAATGAAATAGGAGGAAGGGGGTGAAACATTATGCTTGAGGGTGGTTTGGAAGTTTATAGAGAAAAAATGTGTAATTACTTATTCTATGTTTGTTCAATACTTCTGAAATGTGGTTATGGTACTATGTAGTCATAACTACTATGCTTGCTTCTTTGGGGTCTTACAATTTAGCTTATAAATTGTTCAGCTGGACAGTTTTCCTCACTCCCATCCTTTCACTGTTAAGTGCTCTTTTCTTACCCCTAGAGATCAAAGAGATGTTTCTGTGGTTTGCTGTTCCATCCACATTCCCTCTCCCTCCTCTCTTCCTTCCTTCCTCTGCCCTCACTACAGCACATCACCCAGCAGCCTCAGGCATGAATCAGTCACAGAACACACACAATCACATACACACACACACACAAGCCCTCAGCTGTGACAGTGTTCGGATGAACTCATGGAGACTGTGTCCTGCTCTGGACATTACCTTGTACTTCAACAGCTCCCTGGCTCTCACTTTTGGTGCACTGAGTTCACTACGAGTTCACTGCTAGCTTGGTAATTGGTGCCTGCGTGTTCATCTAATTTAAAGGTTCGACTTTGATCCTGAGTCAAATCAAGCATCTTTGAGTATTTGATAAAATGGGTAAGAATGAGCCTAGCAGGTAAATGATAATTTAGGGGAAAGTCTCCAGATTCCTTTTGTCGACTCCGCTACCACCTCTTTTCCACACTACCTTGGCAAGCCTGAAGCTACTTGTTTGATCAGGGCAACAGTTTTGTTTTCCAAACCAGAGGATTCTGGTGCAGCTGGGCAATAAGAGGACAGACTGAATTTTGCAGGGGCCTCAAATACAAAAACCACTTCACAGAGTGGAATATCCTCCCATTAGGCTAATTCAGGGAAAGTTTTACCAAACACTTTAAAATAAGTGAGTTATAGCTTACTTGCTGGCATGTTACTGGATAGTGGTCAGTTGAAAGCTTGGATGAAGACCAGCTACAGCAGATCATGACTGATGTCACCTATTGCTTGTTTTTCTTTACCCCATCACACAAATCAGTCTTTCACAGTTACAAGTTTCCAACAAAACAGACTTGCACGCTTAGAGGTTTCCTCACAAGCATTTGCTTTTCATATATTAATATCTTCTCTACTGTTCTGCCTATGAAGATAGCCAGCCAAAAAATAACTTACCATCTAAGCAAACCTGCATTGATATTTGTATGCTTTTTCAGGCAAGATGAACGATTTTGTGCACTATTCCGTAAATAATCCTTGCACACAGTGCATTGCTGTATTGAATATTTAGATTCCTAGCTATTCTGACTGGACTCTCAGATACATGGCATGTTATGGGCTTCCTCAGAGAATAAGCAGAACCGTCATCTCCACTGTGAATATTCACAGCTATATATTTCAAATTCACTGTCACAAGTCTGTTATATAAAACACTGCTAAATGTGCTGTCAAAGTAAACAGCCCTGTCAATATCTTCCCTTGCATTTATCTATGCAAAATAAATTTTGAGGAAGGAAACAAAGGAACAGAGTTAAGCTCAGATAACAGTTTAAAATACATATTTTAAATCTTAATTTATTTTTTTAGCTTTGTATTAAAAACACCAGAAAACTACAGTATGTGTGAAAACAAAGACAAATAAGTCAGACTACTATGAATAAATCAACAACCGAGTGTGTATAAACATCACCTCTCAGCCTGTGTGGAGAATACATAACTATACTCGACATGAAGAGGCATGTTGAGAATGCACTGTCACTTCCACAGGAAGCCCCCCAATTCCTGCTTCAGGATTTTTCATTCTACAGTATGTGTGGATGGCATTATCCTGCTTTTCAGCTTGCTGGAAATTGATTACAGCATATTATTACTTCACTGTTAATAAAGGCCACAGTACAGGAGCACTGCCAACATCTATTTTCAGTTGGGCAAAATAGGTCTTAATTACAAACACATGAGCTAAAGAAAAAATAGGGGAGAAAAAAAATACTGTCAAGGGACAGGTTTATTTTCCTAAAGGAACATCTGTTACTAACACATCTCATGAAAATACATACATTAAACTGTAAGTCCGAAACAGAACCTGCCTTCAAACACTGCTCGATAAAAGTTTAAGATCCCTGGTAAATCTCTTTAAAACCCACAGCAACCCATAGGCTTGAAGAGAACCATTTCCTCTGTATACAGTGCAGCTCTTCAGAACTGCAGCCATTTGGCAGCGAGTTTGCAAAGCCACAAAAGGATGGGAATTAGCCATGTCAGCATCTTCCCTGGCTGCAGAAGGTAGCTCAGTCCTTCACTCTGCCAAAAACCAGTTGTAAAAGTCAGTGTGACAGCCTAGAGGAAGGTAATCCTCGCCAGCTGTTTCCAGCCGAAGCCAACCGCATTGGTAGCACAGCGAGCACCAACATGCATTGACTAAGCAGCTACCTGAGAAGTGGTAAGATGAAGTCTGATTCTAGGATCAATAAAATTCCAGGATGCTGACAATGCTTAGTTCACTTCAGCTAGCTGATTCAATAAAGACTGTTGCAGTGTGCTGGCCACACATGGCAGCAGGTTATTAAGGACTTCACTACTGGGAATGAGAAATTCTGATCAATCCATCACCTTTAGAGAGTGAAGGAAAAGACTAAGTATTCTTACACAGAACTGCTAACTAGAGTAGCACAGCCTAAATGGATTTCAAACCTTCATTAATAACCAGATTTTATTAATAAGTAGGCAAAAAAAGGTGGTGTTTTTTCCCTTCTCTTCAGAGTGTCTCAGCTAATACCTACCCACACATGCTATGAGGCACGTGCAGCCTGCAGAGAAATACTGACTGAGGCACAGTTCACCAGTAATTCACACCATGTTCAGTTAACTGTGGGGGAGGTGGGGATTGGGACCAAACAACCTGTCTTGTCTTTCGAGTGCTTTGGCTGATAGCAACTTTAAGAATGTCAGATCTGCTCTTACTTGTTCATCTTAATTTCTTCCTTTACACATACTGCAACAACAAAAGAGTCCTGTAACATATGTGTAGAAATGATGAAGGCTTACAGCTGTCATCTAAATATTTTTATTGAAACTATAATTAACTGTTTCTAAGAGCTTGGCTTTACTACAAAGGCAGTAAGTCAGAATAAGAGTATTAAGTTTCCTCTGTTATCAATCAGCAATTTCTGTTCTACTGCCGCAAAGTGTGCCTTTAAGGCACCCTCTCCACTTACTGCTGTTTTGCTCAAGGGAAAAAGTGATGGCTTTTTCTTATGCTATACACCATTAAACAACACAGCTTAAGCTACATGCTTATGCTATACTAAATGCACCATTTTGCTAATCTACAGAGATAACTACATTTAATTATGTTAATAATTGTGGTTTACCATGGTGCCAAAATTTACCTCTTAGCTTGTTAGACCTACAATTTAATTAGTAGGAGTGAATACAATCTTAAATGAGTGATATTATCTGAACAATTATTTAAGGGGTTTTGCAGTTGTTGCTGTACAACCTAAATAAACTGAGTTACTTTCACTGCACTAGTGAAAACTGAAGCTGTAGCCCAGACACTAGTGGCATTGAGTAGATCTCTTTGGATTCACTGACATCAGTCTTGAGGGCCAGCTACAACGATGTATTTTGAGAACATTCAAGTTTCCTAGAAGTTTAGTTTTATCTGATTTGTGCTAAATCCACATTAGTCCTTAGATCCCAGCCTAGAACCTTATATTTACTAACACTTACTCTCACCTTGAGTTTTTTATTTCAGACACAGGACAGACAGAAACCTCTATCAGGTTCTTCTTTCCCTAACATAAGCAAACCCAAATCTCCTTAATTCATTTGAATGCGAAGTAAGTCCTCTTTATCTCAAACATAAAAATGCTAAATCATGCTTGTTGTGCCCTTGCAAACATTACAACCTTACCTTGAGCAAGACCCAATTTTAACAAATTGGTAATCATTATTCATTCGTCTACATTCATTTTAATATTCCATAGATGTTATTCTTATAAGGCAGGGGAAAAAAGAGAAGGAAAAAAAAAAAGAGGAAAAAACCCCAAAACAAACAAAACTACATCCCTCAACAACAAAAACCCCAAACAAACAATCACCACTCTACTCACAAAGTTCCTTAATCTTGGCAGTCACTGGTGTTTTGTTGTTCCTGTTTGTGAGGTAGGTTGGTGTTGGGTCTTTCTGTTGTTGTTCCGTTGGTGTTTTGGGGGGAAAGGGGTACCCCTATTGTAGCTTTCAGACCTATGAGTTACTTATGATATCTTCCAGATTAAAAGAAATCTGTTCAAGATGTTTACCAATCATCCCTATGGTACTACATCATGCTTATGAACGTTTTCAGTTTTGCAGAGTGAATAGTCTGTAGAATCAATAAAGCAAATCACCATGAAGCTTAATTAACTCTCTCTCATAACTGCACTTACAACAACATCCATGCATCAAGAAAACAAGACTAAACAAATCAGCTTCAGATGTTCACACCAAAATATACAGGAATGGTGAAGTACAGAAGCAGTATTCTGGATATAGGAAAAAATAGAGTATGAATTGTTTGCTATGCTTTAAAAGGAAATGCATTGGAAAACAAATAAATGTTATAAAACCAGCTATGAAGTTCTCCACTAGAATGTGTAGGTGACATATGCCTGAACCAGACCATTAAAGTCTCTCCTGTAAGTGTGCTCGTTTGATTCCTGCAGTGATAACTCGTTTTTTTTCCTCAAAGTGAGACTTAATAAGAAATAAAAGGAAGCAAGAAAAATGTTCTTTGCCAGCAGAACAGTTGTGATTTCTCACTCTGCCAACATCACATTAGCTAATATTACTCCAAGTGGCTTTTCAGTTCTTAGTTGGCATTACTGGATGTCTGAGAAAAGAAAAATAACAGAAAACAAAGCCTGAAGCCCATATATGGCAAGAAGTCGTCTTACTCAAGCCGAAAGAAGGAATGCTCACCAAATTAATATCTCATTCTGCCTCAGCTGCAAAGGGTATGTCATTTCTGGGGGCATTTTAAAGACTGTATGCAACGTATGTGACTTGCACAATAGTTGTTGGAGAGCACAGCTCCTGCACTTTTTGCATCATAGCTTACTACAACCCATGCAGCAAAGCCATCCAGATTGCTAAATAAAATAATGATAAGGATATTGAATATCCTTATGGAAGACTGCAAGCCTGGCAGAGGGTTGACATACTTTACATTTCAAGGTAATGATCTGCAGTTTTATGTGCTATCTTATGGCCACTACCTAATTGCTAAAGACAGAAATATGCCGTCACCCAATATGCCTAATCAGTTGTAATTACAGGAGAATTTCTCAAGGAGAATTTCTTACAATCAAGATCATGATTTTTTAACTAATTACAATAGAAAGCAGTCTCTCTGCTTTCGCATTTGAATTCAGCAATGTGTTATTTCTTAGTAGCAAACATTTAATACTAATAATTAACATCTGAGATTCCACATAAATCTCATTTTCAGAAACAGATCTCAGCTGGTTTTGAAATCACAACCTTTTAATGTATCTCAGAAGCAGGCCAGTCAAATACTACTAGATGATTTCAGTTTCGTATTCACAATGATAATCAGATCTAATTGATAGCTCAATGTATAAGCAAAACGTTCATTAGTGAAACAAAATTCTGAAATCAAAACTGATCAGAAGTTTTCTCATTCAAGTAAATACATCAGACTACTTGTACTGTTTATGAAAAAATTGCCAACTTTGAGTAAAAAAAAAAAAGGGCTGAAATTTTATGTGTCTGAATAATTTACACGTTAGAATCTGGGGATTTATTTGAGCTGCTTGATAAACTGAAGGAATGCAAACCCACTCAGGTACCAACTGCAGGATGAGTTTCAAACAGGTCTCTGGAAAATAACACTGTTAGAGTGAATCATTGCCTCAAACATACCACTGAGGACAAGGTTAAGAGGCAACCCATGAATCAGTAAATCTCACTTTAACATCAATTCCATGCACTTTGCCCAACTGCAACATTGTGTTTGAAAAGGCTTATATGCAATCACAGTTGCTGTACAGTATCTCACAGGCTTCTTCCAAAATATGTGCTCCGAGTACATCAGACTCATTACACAATAAATGTATAACTGCGGGTACTAAACCTGTTCTTTACCATAAAAGCTCAGCTTAACCAAAATGCATTAAAGAGAACTAAAAATTCAAACCCAGATGTATACACCTCAATTTGATTCCGACTTTTTTTTTTTTTACCCCCAATGCACTTAAAACCTGGCTGTTGAATGATCTTGGAATCCAGATGCACAAACATGTATAGGAGATCCAAATGTTGCATTTTTGCACGGTCCTAAGTTCATTTCCCAACATGCGTAATTATACAAATGCGCCTCATAGTTCTACACCACAGTGTCAACATTAACTCCAGAAATGTTTAGGAAAATATTCAGTATAAAATTCAGGTTAAGATGTTACAACTCTTATAATTAAAGAATTTCTTCAACTTGCAAAAAACTAAGGTATGTGTTGTTTGGTTATATTTCTCAATAGTGTCACATTAGAATAGCTTTCATTGTTTTAAGTGTGCCATTTACCTCATGGGGTTAAAAAAGAATATCCACCACCATAGTATTATGTAGTTAGTAATAGTAATTAACATAATTAAATAGTAATTAACAAGTAATATAGTAATAAGTAATACAATAGTAAATAGTAATTAACAAGTTTTCATTATTTGTGCCATGTCTAAATTGAAAATAAAGCCAATGTCATGAGGCTCACCTACTGCTCACTCCACCTAGCTGATTTTGTGGACACCATATTTACAGTTATTTCTACATCACACTA